CTTCCTAATAACTGTTTGCATGAAGATTCCCAGGACTCCCCAAGAGAAACAGACTAGGACCTGAGACACAGGGTTGATGGTCCATTTTTCACCTGTGCTTGGATTAATTTTTTTTTAAGGAAAAATTGTCCCCATCCTCCTGGTAAAGTGGGGCAGATCTCCAAGTAGACCAGACACTCTTGAGCGAAGTGTTGAGGTGTAGGTCAACCTGATTCAAGCTCAAAAGGACCCCCCTGGAGAGCTAGCTCCAGGACATATTTGCAGGCAAGACATTGACATTAGAAATGGAACATTCAAAAGCATTTGCCATGACCTACTTAGCACATGTGCTGGGTAAACAGCAATGAGAAGTTGGGAGCTCAGTGCAGGGTCCCTGCAGCTGCTGAGGCAAAACAGCAAAAGCATCCCAGGGGCGAGGGATGAGCCTGGTGGAGTCTGGATGCTGAGAGAATAGCTCCTGCCACCATGAGAGAAACTGCCACGGCCACCAAGGAAGAAAACACAGGACCCCTGAACAGGGAGTAGAGGCCTGGGTCCTTGGGGGTCTAATGGGAGGTGGCAGCCAGAGTCTCTTGAGATCCCCTTTGCAGCCTCATTGGGACCTTGCAAAGAGCAGTGTGGCTAGGGAGGTGGGGTGTTCTGGGCCATTGACCTCACCCTAGGACCTCATTTCTTCAGTTACCTACTCAGACATTGGCCAAATACATGCCTTAACAGGTCACCTCAGAAGCTGCAGACCTGCCTGGGAATACAGCAAGCACCCGAGGTATTTCCCTAACTCTCCAGAAGCTGTGCATGATCAACCTACCCGTCACCTGCTGGATTTTCTCAGAACTTACCAGTCCACCAACCAAAATCCCCACTCTATGACCCAGCAGAGATGGAAAGTCCCCTTCATGTGACTCTCTGAAGAAAATGTACCCTAACAAAACATCAGATGGGGCAGGGAGTGTGCCTCGTGCCGTGGAAAAATCTTAACGTGTTATGCATTCCCTCACCTATGAGGGGCAGATGGCCAGTGTCCTTCCAAGTGTGACACTCTGAGAAGGGCTTCACCTGTGTTGTACCCTTCTGAGAATGCACAACCTGCATCCAATCCACTTGGGGTGATACAATGAGGTGGAAGCAGGACTAGAACTCAGGTCTGTTTGACTCTGAAGCCCAGGCTCCTTTAGCTTAGTACTCCAAAGGCCAGACTGGGGTCAGGGAGGGAGGTGCAAGCACTGCCCGCTCTGAGAGTCCCTTCACTGTCCTGCAGCCATCTGCCAGCTAACCACAGTGAGGACTGAGGTGCTTTGGAGCTCCTCTATAATTTTTTTTTTTTGATAGCCCATGTGTTCCCTGTGAACAAATATTTCAGACACAAATGCCTTCCAATCCAAGAGAGAGCTCAGTTTAGCAGCTGGGGACAATGACTCTTCTTTCGTTGTCAGGACTTCCAAGGGAGCTGGAGAACAAGTGAGCATAGAGGTGACAGCAGTCCTGGTAGCCCCCAAACCTGCCTGTGACAGACAGTCTTCCTGGGGGAGCTGGATGGCATCCCTGTGGGATGCTCTTGACTGAGCAGAGGAAGAAAAACACAGGAAGTGGCGTTCAGAGAGGCTGCTCTCTTAAACCCAGCCTGGGCTCCTGGTCAAAGCAAAAAATGTTGCCCAAAGGAGAGAGGCAGGGACGGGAATTGGGACGGGATAGAGGACTTCAGATGGGGAAGGGGGATGGGCTACAGGGCATGGGGGCTGGGCAGAGCTTTCCTCGGCCTCTCCCACAGTGCTGCTGGCCCTCCATTGGCCTGTGGACTGCTATGGAGGAGATGGCATAAACAAAGAGGAAGGCCTGCATTCCTGTGGTGGACAGCCCTGTGAGACCATAGAAAGCATCTGTGTGGTGGAAACAGGAAAAGGAGGCTGAGTCAAGCCCAGGGCTGGAATTTAGTGTCCACCACAAATGTACCCACTACCCTGGGCCAAAGACTCAGCAACCCCAAAAGGGTCAATGAAAGCTGAATACAGGACTAAAAAGGGTCAAAGTTCTCCCCTGCCTGTAGGAGTGATGCATGGACATGACAATTCACTGAGCAATAAAATGATTGACATCTTAATGTAAGGAGGGGACCTGAGAGAAGGCAGGTGGTGTAAGGAGCAGCATCTTAGAAGAGGGTCAGGAATTTCAGTATGGATTTGGCATGCTACGTCCGTCTCTGCCAAGAGAAAGTCCTGGACCAGCTGATTTCTAGGGACCAGCCAGTTTTAGCATTCTAGAGGCTTCAGCCAACACACTCACAAATCTTGAGTCTAAAGTTAAGACTTCTTTAAGGTCCCTCCCCTCCCAGTACTTGGGGGGGAGGCATGGGAAACCAGGGACGTTCTACCATTGAATTATATCCCCAGCCCTTTTTGAATTTTTGAGACAGGGTCTTGCTAATTTGCTGAGGCTGACCTTGAACTTGTGATCCTCCTGTTTCAGTCTCCTATATCACTGGGATTACAGGCATGCACCACTGCACCCAGACAATAGGCTTTTTAAAAATTAATAAATTGTGATTTAGTCTTATAATGGAATGCTTTATAACACTTGCTGTCAGCCAACAGACATCTACGTATGTAACCACCACCATTTCCAGCATGCCAGAAATCTCCCTTGTGCCGTTTCCCACCACCACCACCACCCACCCTAGGTAACTTCTCATTACAAAATCCACAGATTCATGTCTCAACTTCTGGAAAGGAATATAAGTGGAATCATATAGTGTGTGCTATCATGTGTGGCTTTTGCTCCAGAGGATGTCTGTGGGATTCTTCCATGTTGCTGCATCTCTTAATAACAGGTTCTTTTAACTGAAGTGTAGTATCCATAGGTCATTTGCCTCTGCTAATGGAGATTTGGATTGGTTATGGTTTGGGGCTATTTTAAACAAAGCTGCTATGAATTCTCTTATATGAGTCTTTGGTGGTCACAGGTCTCATTTCTCTTGGGTGGAACTGTTGGGCCGCAGGTAGTTGTCTTAAGCTTTAGTAGATGTTGCTGAATAGCCTCTGAAAGTTGAAAGGTGACTTTTACAGTCTTGAATTGAACATAAAGGAGTAGTGGGTGTGAGAGAGAAAACAGGTATTCCTTAAGAACACCTCAATATTCTCAAGATTGGTTCTTCCAACAAATTGTGCACACTGACTCCACACTGGCAGGAGCTGTGGAGCCAGCACCTCTTTCTGGAGGCCGAGCATTGTTCACCTGACCCTTGCCCCATTGGGGCAGTTGTACCTGTTGGCATTATTTTGCAGGTAAAATTAGGGCTTTGCCAGTTAGGACAAGCACCTGTGCAGTGCAGGACACCTCACTGCCCAGGCGGCAAATATTCACATTCACTCCTCACCAGCAGAGCCCTCAGACCCGCCCTGCGCCTCACACTCAAAGGGGAGAACTCAGGGCCAAGGCAGCTCCTACCCTTCACACCTAAGCATCCCATATCACAAAGACTTTAAAACATACACAAAGCTCTTGTTTATCATGTGCATGTACAAATGTGTGACAATAAATCCCACTATTATGTAAAATTATAATGCCCCAAGAAGAAATTTGGAGAAAATAAACCTGTCACATAAAACCTACAGAGCAATTCCTTTCTGATCTCTGTTGAAAGGCCTCCGTTTCTGCCCAGTGCCCCACTCCAGGTTCTCTGCCAGCTCTCAGAATGAAGTCTCCCTTCCAGGGGGGCCCCATTTACACTGAAGGGTCAGCGACTCCCAGGACTTAGTCCTTTCTCTGCTAAAACAGAAGACCAAGGACTAAGTTATTTATGAAGAAGAGTAAGCTGTCCCTCACAGTTCTGAAAGCTGGAAAGTGGCACGACATCTGGTGAGGGGCTTCCCGCTGCATCACCCCAGGGTCAGAGGCAGGACAGGAGATGAGAGAGGGCCCAGGATGCTTTTATTACAAATTCACCCTCATGATATGGGACCCTCTCTCATGATAACACTAATCCACTCACTCGGGCAGAGTCCTTGTGGCCTGATCACATAGTGTTAAGTACCACCTGCCAATAATATCTACTAAAGCTGGGGACAAAGTTTCCATTAGAAGCACCTTGGGGGAGACATTCAGACCACAGCAGACCCAGTGGGGGAAACCCTGACTCTAAGAGACTATTGTATTCTGGATAGCACAATATCCATAGAGATTTCTATAGAAAGTTGAATAAACTCTTCCAGGTGTGCTCCACTTACACCAAAGTGATCACTGTCAACGCCTAGGACTCTTCAAAGGGAAACCCTGACTCCCAAAGCCTGCTGTGTTCTAGACAACAGAACCGGCCTTTCTGCAGAGCAGGATTTCTTAATCTCATCATTACTGACATTTTAGGCCGGATAATTCAGTTACAGGGAGCTGGTGTGCACATTGTAGGAGGTTTTGCAGCATTCCTGGCCTCTCCTACTAGATGCCAGCAACACTCCTACCACCTGTGAAAACCCCCCCAAAAAAGAAAAAAAAATCCCTCCAGACATTGCCAATGTCCCCCAGAGGGCAAACCTGCTCCTGGTTGAGAACCACTGTTTATAAAGTGTTTATAGAAACACCAACACCAACTTCTCCTTCTCTCCCTTGCTCTAAAAGGGAAAGATCAGCTTCCCAATACGTAATCAAGCTGAACTGAGTGGGCTTGCTTCACCCATTGCAGGCGTTTTAATGTAGGCAACCACGTAAAACAAAACAAAAAACCACATTGTTTATTCTGGTGAAGGAAAAACTGAAAGACATGGAAAGAAAATCTGAGAAAACAAAGGTAAGGGGATTTGGAGGTAAGAGCAACAATGAGGGAGAGATCATCTCTGTAAGTTCCCGCTTGTGAGCTGACACATCACCCATGGTTTCCCCACATTCGTGACTCAAAACACCAAACAAGAGCTAACTTCTGGGGGTCTTAACCCTAAACTCAGTGTTTTCAGGAAGTGTCCCAAAACCAAAGTCCATTTCATTATATGAAAATACACATTCAGACACACAACTGTACCCCATTGTTTTATTAAACCAGACAGTTTAAAATGTATGATGTTCTGGCACATTTAATTTTCTTACTGGGTCCATTTTACTACAAAAACAAACAACAAACAAAAAAAATATAAAAAACTTTTAATATATCTTAGAAAAATTAGCAAAAAAATTAAGAAAGTTGAGCATATTACATTACACAATGTTTAGATAATGATGTTTGAAAATTATATTTTGTTCCCTGTCCATACTGCAAAAAACAAAACATCTTTTTAAAACTTTTTTCAGGTATAATTCCTGGAAATGATCATGTCTACGTATTAAGGAAAAGGCCTGATTATGACAAGCATTCAAACACTCCTGAAATTTTCTGTACAGTAATTACAAAAGTAAAACCAAGGGGTCTATAGGTATTTTGACAGCTGAAACCATTTTAAATATTAGGAGGAATTTGATTAATATAAAAATATCATCCCAAATAGGATTGACAGAGTTCATTTCTGTGCTGCTGTTTTACCATTGTTTAGAGGGGCTCTTCCCTCCTGGATGTAGTGCCATGGAAGCCAGGATGTCGACACTATGCAATAAATACAAACTTTTTGCACCATCCTAGGAGTGACTGCTTAGTCAAGTCAAGGCCCACATGTGCCCAGAAAACAAGCAATCTTCAGGCTCATGGCCCAGGCCACAAAGTGAGGTCCACTGGAGACAGGAATGGAGGAGCTAACCCCAGGTCATGTTTTCATTTGCAGCTATGCAACAAGCTGGATTTTAAGAAGGGACATTCTGCAAGGATATATATGGCCTATCTCAGCACTTCCCCAAAGCAGAAATTCACACATTCCACCCACCCCATGCACAGGCTATCCAAGTCCACACTGTTTCTACTCCAGAGATGTCACATGGCTCATTGGCTTCTTTGTAAAATATCTTTTCCTCATCCGTTATGAGGGAGATTGGGGGTCCCTAGTGTGATAAATCAAACCACAAGAAAGGTTCCATTCCCGTTGGTCTAATATATCTGCCAGTGACAGAATAAAATAACAATACTTATAAGTGGCTCAGCAGAAAACAATACCCAAAATATATGTTACATTTGGAAGGCATAATATAAAAGATATTTTAGATAAAAATCTAATTTTATAAAGACAACTATAAGAGATCATTAAATAAAGTTATATTTTTATCAAACAGTCCTTAAGACAAATTTCTAAAGACCATTTCACTGGCAAATATTTTCCAGTCATAAAAGATATGTGGAATTATATTCCAGTTTCCACTCATGTAAATAAATACATGCACTGAAATCTCTTAAGACCATCCACTCTAGATGTACACATCTTTTTAGAATCGCTTCCTCACTGCTGTTATGCAACCACTTCAAGAATGCCCGAGTTCTTCTTCATGTAATGCTTGTTGGCGAGGACCAGAACCATGAGGCTGAATTCTGCCTTTGTGTGACAACTGAATTACCCTTGTTTGTTCTTTCCCCCCCACCGCGCCCCTTTTCCTTCTTTTTTCAGTACTGGGGACTGAAATCAGGGGCACTCTACCACCAAGCTGCATTGCCAGCCCTTTTTATTTTTTTTATTTGGAGACAGACTAGCCTCAAACTTGTGATCTTCTTGCCTCAGCTTCCTGAGTCCCTGGGGTTACAGGCACGTACCACCACACCCTGCTACCCCCATATTTATGCTTTTCAATTTTAAGCATCATGGCTTTCCATGAAGTTACTGATGTTTATAAATTAATAACTAGTGTTGGAAGGCTTGACTTCATAAATATTCTTACTCAAAAACAAATTATACATGGGAAACTTCCTCAATTTTCTTTTTGAATTAGACTCTGATCTCAATTTCCTTGCTGCACTTATTTATACTGGATATTTCTTCCCTGATACACACAGGAAGGGAAAAGGCAGAAAAGCTGCCCTCCTAATGAGAGCTATGGTTGGGCTAATACAATGACATGTTATCATCCTCATGACATTTTCCCCCCTTTATAACATTTTAAATCTAACTACACACATATGGGCAACTTCCCACTGCCCATGTGCATATAATCTGCTTTATAAATCAACAAAATAATTTTTATTTCAAATTAGCTTTTTTCTACACTCAACATAATCCTCTTACTGCATGAAGTACCCTAGTAGCACATCATTTGCTAGAGAGAAGGAGAGAGAACACCCGAGATAGAATTAGGTTGAGTATGAGCCAAGAGGATGTTTTTCTTTGAGGTGAGGGAAAGGAAATGGGAATGATACATGCCAAATGTATGATGCTTAGGGAAAGAACTATCTCAGTAGAAGCTAAGAAACCTCAATTGCCAGATCTATCCAGAAGGATGACTGAGAAATGGCAGAGACTCCATGACCTATCCATCAGAGCACCTATGGTCAAAGGCCTGCCAGTTCAACTGGCACGGATGCCAAGAAGACAGGCCAATCTCACTTAAAACACACAAAGAAGGAAACATGCTGCCAAAGGAAGAGCTGGCACCCAGTCCAAAGAGGTTCTGACTCCCCAGAGATATTGAGCACTCAGACCCCATGCTCTCAACCCTGCAGATACAGAGCTGACCATGCTCTGCCTCTCTCAGAAGAGAATCTGAGCCTAATGCAATTTTCAGAAGCTGAAGTTTTCAGAGAGAGTAAATAAAGAGCTTGACAACATTGACTTTTTTTGTCCTTTTCAGAGAAGCTTGCATTTGCAGGAAGGGCTCCTTAGCACACTGACCCCATTAGAGGCACCAAGAAAAGAGTTAGAAGCAGCGAAGCAAGTTTCTTTTGTCTTTAGCATAAAGCTCTCCAGCCACACTTGGCATCTGCATAACTGAGGGGACTTCTGTCAGGAGTAGTCACTCCGTGGTCTTTTTTTCTTTCCAGTTCTTTTCTCTTTCCTCCAGTTCTGCCTGGGTAAAAGCGGCAGGTCCCCAATTAGTGATCAGGTGAGGGTTCTTTGAACCTAAAAGACAAACATGCTTTAAACACAGGTAGTATTACATTCTTCACTTTACATTATCATTTCTCCATGGACAAAATAGTTAACTTTTCACCTTATTTCTTCTCTGAGGAACATCTAAAAAAGTCATACCAGCCAAAGATGAGAAGCTGTGCATACAGGAGACTATCTGGGCCCAAGAGAAATGTACTCTAAACAGCTTAGGGCTTATACATTTGGGCCAAAAATGATTTTTAAGCACAATTCAAATACACAAATAAAATGAAATTAAAATTAATGTATGATTACTTCAAAAAACCTATTACCTGGTTCTATCAATCGAATTAATCCTTCATGATGGGCCACTTTGTCCTTCCAGCTCTTGGTCTTATTAGTTGCCATTTCTAGCTTCTTTTTAACCCCCTGAAACAAGAATGGAGTTTGGACTTTGCAGACACATAGTAAGTAGTTCGAGAATCAAATAACAACAACTAGTTACTTACTATGGGTTCATGGGTTATCTCATTAAACTCTGTTAAGAAGCAGGAACTGTTGTTATCCCAGGGTACAGCAGTAGAAACCAGAGGTTAAGCAACCTGCCTAAGTCACACAGGAGGAAGTGGCAGAGCCAGGACTAAAACCCAGGCCATCTGGTACTAATGCCTACCCTTCCACCACATCTACCACTCTCAGCTCCAAATAACCATTCACTGCCTTGTTAACTAGAATAATTCTCCCTCATTAGCTGGCTCCATTTCAGTTTTGATAGTAACAGGTGCTGGAGGAAGGAAGCTAGCACTCAGGACACTCGTGCTATCATCCCAGTGGGTTTTAGTGGCATCTCCCTGGAGTGACCAGTGCCTGGGAACAATTTCCCTGGGAGTTCTGCTGGCCCAGCAACTCAGCCACTTCTCTGCCACTGTGGTGTCCCCCAAGAAGGCCTGGATCACAGTGCTGAGTCAGGGACCAGGAGCAAGGGACTCCTGCTGTGCTTTGCCTCAGCCTGGAGGCAGTAGCTGTTTCTTGCATCTGCCACTCTTGATAGGTAATCCCCTGTTATAGTTTATAAGTATATATATTAAACTTTTGCTGCTCACATTACTATGTAGTTTCTGTCTCCTGAGTAGACTCTGAAGGATACACCTTATCTCTTATAAAAACTTCCTCTTTCCTTTCTACAGCTAAGATTCTTGCTACAGCTGTGTACTAACAGATAAACATTACTAAACAATCTTTTTCTGAACAATGTGTGTTCTGGAGGTGGGAGGGCCTGGGGATATAGTTCAGTTGGTAGAGTGCTTGCCTCACACGCACAAGGCCCTGGATTCAATCCCCAGCACCACCGCCCCCGCCCCCCAAAAAAGTATGTTTTTTTAAAAAAAAATTTAGTTCTAGATGGACACAATACCTTTACTTAATTAATCAATTTATTTTTATGTGGTGCTAAGGATTGAATCCAGTGCCTCACACATGCAAGGCAAGCGCTCTACCACTGAGTTACAACCCCAGCCCCCTGAACAATGTTTTTAAGGAATCAAATTCAAGAGTGTACGGTGACCAGCCCACTCACCTCATACTGCTCCAAAGCCTGCTTCCGCTCAAGCTCAAGCTGCTCCAGCTGTGCCATGGCCTCCTGAAGGGCCTGCTCCTTCATGACACGCTGGTGCTCCAACTCCTGCTTCTCTGCCTCTGTTGTCTGAATGGCCTGCTGCTGTACCAAGTGCCACTTTTCCAGTTCTGCCCTCTTGGAAGACTCTTCCTCCAACAACCTGCAATGCAAAGGAGACTCAGATCACCTCTGCCCAGGCACCACACCTAATCTAGCAGATGAGGGAAGAATTTCAGAAGAGAACATTCAAGGTCGTTCAATGTACCTCTTATGTCACAAAAAGGAGTGGGAGCCAGAGATGTTAGTGTTCACAAAGTTAGTAAACAACCCCCTATTTTACCATTTTTTGAAAAGAAAAAAAAAAAAAAGGAAAATAACATTTATGCAAAGCTGAATGTGTGCCAGGAACTGAGCTAAGAATCAAATCTATCTCTATCAATCCTCACAGTAAACTTAGGTGCTATTAATGTTCACATTTTAGAGTTGAAGAAAATGAGGCACAAAGGGGAAGTGACATGCCCTTTACAACCAGTAAAGAGGACCAGGCTTTGGGTCATCCACCTGCCAGGTGCAGGGGACCAAGTTTTGAAATTTGGTTGCTACACCTTTAAATGTTTCTTCACCTAACAAAGACCTATTAGCAAGGGAAAAAAAAATAAAACTGATAATTAAAGTAATACAGATGAAGGGAGAAAGAGCTGACTGACACAAAGGAGAAGAATAGATTCTATTCACTGAACAATTACTACATGCCAGACACTTTAACTTCATTATTGCTAATCCCCCAACAATCCTGCAAGGTATTATCCCCAAGTTATAGATAAAGCAATGGTTTACAACTATGTTGCATAGGTCATAATGGATTTCAACCTTAAGTATGTATGACTCCAAAATGTTATTTTCAATAACAGGCTACCTATTTGAGATTATCCAACTGCGTAAGTGTTTAAAAACATAAACCAGCACATAGCCCAAACCTGCACTCCAAGTGCAGATGGTATATTGAGATGCCAGGCCTGGTCAGGACACAGATCTCATAGCGAGCTACATGGTTTCAACTCACATGGCAAGTCAGTTACTACAGCATTCGCTCTTCAAGGGAAAAAGAATAACAGACCACATAGCCCTTGCCTGACCCTGACTCCTGAAGCCCCAGCTCCCACCCATGCCAACAACAGAACTCCCTCCAAGCCTTTCTCAAAGATGACTGTCCAACTGTGCTGCAATACCCTAGTCAAGGGGCCACTGACACTCTCATGAGTCAGTCAGTATATCTATGGGCAGCTTCAATCCTTAGGAAGTTCCTTCTTATACCAACATGAGCTTCCCCATCCACTATCCCTAATTCTACAAATGATCAATCTGCTCCCTCTTTGCCATGATCACCTTTCAGCACAGGAAGGTGGCTCTCCTTCCTGCTAAGAATGCCTCCCCAAGTAGACCAGATCCAGCCCAAAGATGGGGCCCAGTGTCCACATGCAATATCCTTCCTGAGACACACACTAGCTCCTTTCAAGTCTCTTGGAGTAAGATGTACACAGCTGAATAAAGCATTGCAGATGTAGTCTGAACAGCATACAGTTTATCCCCTCATTCAATCTGAATTTATTATACACCTTCCAAGTGCTCCTCTAGGAACTGGGATAAACAGTGAGCAAGACTAGAAAGGCTGTTTCTTCATTCTAATAATAAAGTATGGGAGGAAAATGGACATTTTCTGGGAGATTGTGCTGCCCAGAACCTGAATTCTGTCTCTCAGGTGTCTAGGGAATCTACCACATTAGGAATCTTGATGAGAGGTGGAACTATCTCCCACTATAGATGCCGCAGGCCAGAAAGCTACCTTTCTGCTCCTTGGAAACCAGGGCACAGGGAAGACAAGGGCTGAGCTTGGCTAAACAGATACCTCTCCTGGAACTTGGACTCAGAAACTATTGACACACAGAACCCAAGACAGTGCAGAATTTACTTTGCTGATGGCAGCAATATCTAGTGTAGAGTGGCAGCAGAAGAAATGGTACTACTGTCACCCAGTACCAATGTGTGGTGTCCTTTCTCAAGTCTGGTTTGAGCTGTAGTCCAGGTTAATGAATTTTCCCAGCCTGGTTGCTGCTAGTGTTCAAAGCCTGCCCACCTGCCTTTCTGTGGAACCGGTGAACTACTTAAGAACCTTTCAATAAATTATTTTATTGCTTCAGCTAATTCAAGCCAGTTTCTGTGGTATGCAAACAAACCCATGAATGAAGTCTAGTGCCTCACTCTCTTTTTGCATTTCAGGTTCCTCATTTATTTAAAAAGAAAAGAAAAGAATAGCCAGGTGTGGTGATACACACACATAGTCCCAGCTACTTGGAAGCATGAGATAGGAAGGTCACTTGAGCCCAGGAATTTGAGGCCAGCCTGGACAATACAGCAAAACTCTGTCTCAAAAATTAAAAAAAGAATTACCATAAGAGGTGTGCTGATGAATCAAATGTGATGATGCATGTAAGGTACTCACACGGCTGCCATGTAGCAAGTGCTGAGTAAACAACAGCTCACGTTATTACTGTGAGACTATTACTTCATTTGCTCTGGACACTTCACATTTATTAAAGCTGCCTAATAGTACCTGAGGTTTTGGCAACCACATCACAGGGAAGTGAAACCCTAGATCTTTCAAATGAACTGCTATTAGGCCAGTACTTGTTCTTTGATATTTTAGACTATCTTATTAGTCTAAAACTATCACTGTAGCCTGTCAACATCTTTTTGAATGCTTATTTTGAAATTATATACATGAAGTATCTTCCCCATCTGCAAATCAGATAAAGGAACAGAGAGCATCTTATACTGTGTGTCCACAAACATTATGCTAAACACTATGCCTAAAATATCTCATTTCATCTTCACAGCCCTACAGAGTTGGCAGTTACTTTACTTTATAGATAAGGAACTGAAGGCTCAAAGTAGTGAAGCACTTCTCTAAAAGTTTCATACAAAGTTTCATAAAAACTTTCATATCTGGGAATCAGTAGCCACACCTCACTCTGGAACCCAGTCCCTAACTGCCTTCAAACACATAGAAAAATATTTATAACACTTGGAAGACAGACTCTGGGTCCACAAGGCCACAGTAGGTAAAACTTCAATCCATCCATCCATTCAAAAAGTATTCCTTTGGGCACTCAGCATGTGCTAGGCACTGCACTGGTTACTAGGAATGCAGACATGACCAAGGATGCTCCTAGACCTTAGAGATCCAAAATTTCAGTGGGTAAAAGTTACAGTGGGACATGGCTCAGCCTCCAGAACTTTTCAATACTTGATTTTTCCACACATTAAAACAGTTTTCTTCTGAGTCTCCATTCAAAAGCACCTAGATAACCTTCAGGGTTACACATTAAAATTTTAATGATAAAAAAAATTACAAGACCCAGATGGGGGGCTGGGGTGTGGCTTAGTGGTAGAGTACTTGCTTAGCGTATGTGAGGCACTGGATTCGATCCTCAGCACCACATAAAAATAAAAAATAAAGGTATTGTGTATACCTACAACTAAAAAATAAATATTTTTTAAAAAGACCCAGGTGGTTCAAGTCAAAGTTATTACATTTAAACAATTTACTATAAAAGCTATCTTGGAGAAACTTAAGGCACTACAGAGAAAGGACCAAGTATATTAGTTCCAGGTACTTGGGAGAGTAAGGCAGGAAGGTCACTTGAATCTGAGAGTTAAAAAGTCAGCCTGGACAATATAATGAGATCCTTTTCAAAAATATATTTATCCTCAAATGTAGATATATTGTTATGACTTTCTTTGTTTTTTTCCTACCCAGGCCAATCCTGAGAAGCAAGGTGCAAATCCCCTCTGCCAATCTTGACAGTCAGTCTCTGAATCAGGCCCAGTACTCAGGGACTTCATGAAAGAAAGAACCCACATCTTAAAAATGACCACTAGATGGGGCAAATTTGTCCATCTCAAGTTCCAAAAACTAAGAAGAAAAATAATTTAGAAAAAAGAAAATAATTATATTCATAAAATAGGTTTTGTACACGAAGAAAAAGTTTAAATTTTGTACTGAACTTTTAGCTTACTGGTGCAGAGAGCTACATATAGTAGTTACATTTACATTTAAAATCATTTTGCTATTAAAACCACTTTGCTATTTCAAGTAGTACTTACTACAGTACTATTCTGAATGACCAAATGGAAACTGCACATGTACTCTACACTGTAGCTGCAACTCTGGCCTAAGCCCAGCCCTGTCCCTATATTAAGGGCTGTCTCTTGTCTGCAACACAAAAAAGTCAACTTCTCACCAAGCTGATCTGGGCTCATGGATATTCTAGAGTATGATTAACAGGACTCCATCAAACATACCCACAGACTGCTCTAAAACAGATAAGGTCCTTCTTTAGCTTCCTAAGCAAGGGTTTCAGTGCCCTAGGATGAAGAGAAACACACTAGTAGGCCAAATCTCCAGAGTCTATCCAGCCTGGACAACACATAAGCCCTGTCACTGCCAGAGTGAGAGCCTCCTCCCCTTCCACCAGTATTAGCTGACCCAAGAAACCATCAGTCCAAGCCAAACATGTAAGGCAAAGTCTGCAAACTGATATGGCACCTGGCCTGAAGTTTCCGCACCATCTCTTCATCTTGCCGGGCCTGCCTCTCATCCTCAAGAGCCTCCTGCAGCTTTAGGTACATGTCTTCCAGCTCCCGTACTCGCTGTAGATACTGTTCCAGTTCAGAGGACTTTTGGGCAACCTGTTCTTCCATCTGCTGTCTGATCTGAAGGTATAAAAGGGTCATGGTCATGCTGAAATGCAGGCTGACTTCAACTATGGGGAAAGCCTCCCACCCCACCTCTATCCTGGGAGCTGCCCACAGTTCACCAGTGTGGTAGCCCCTGCCTTCAGTTCTTGAATTAAATATGAAAAAAATGAGAGCACAACATCCAATTCCAGCTGTAAAAGACTCCAACCCAAATGCTGTGTTCCTGCTTTGGTATATTTTTCATACTTTTCACTCCACATTTTTTTTTTTTTTGTACTCAGGGGCGCTTATCCACTGAGCCACATCTCCAGCCCCTTTTACATTTTATTTAGAGACAGGGTCTCACCGAATTATTCAGGGTCTTGCTAAGTGGCTGAGGCTGGCTTTGAACTTACCATCCTCCTACCTTAGCCTCCCAAGCCGCTTAGACTACAGGCGTATGCCACCACGCCAGGCTGTACTCCACCTTTTGAGTCAAGCCAAAAAAAAAAAAAAAAACGTTTCCCTATATAATTTTTCTTTAAATTCTTTTCTGACAGCCACAACTTCTTTAACAACAGTCTTCAGTGAAAGGAATGAATGAACTTTTGCCCACTCAGAGCAACCTGCACATGAAAACAAATGGAGAAGGGAAACTTGGTCTGCAGGAGACTCCTTCTGCATTTGCCTACTGTCACCCCTCTTCTCCCCTCCCTAGGACACCTCTAGCCAGGGAAGAACTCCAGTAGTTAAGTCAGTACCTTAAGAAGTGTGTGGTTTCCCCACTTCTGGGTAAGAGTTTTGATCTCTGCCTTAAAGATTATCCTAAATATAATATCATAAATGTTAGCAGATGTTTTTTCAGCTTATAAAATATTTTCACTAGCAATAGCTAGTGAAAAGAGCCAGGAAAGACCATATGATAACCACTATATTTAAGAGAAAACTACAACTCAGTGAGAAGCAACAGAAAGGAAGAAAGGCTAGGCCTCCACACTGTGAGTGCATGATTACCTCCCAACTACACGTCTGCCCCCTGTGCTTTCCTCTCACAACACAAACAAGCGCTTTAAATGACGACAGGAAATGTCATGAGCACATAAAGGCATAGGGCTCCGCACTTTCCCACATAGCATGGCTCAACAGAACAAGACCTATTAACCAGCTGATGATGTCCTGGAGCCACTCGGACCTTTGGGGCCTCTAGGATGAATCAGAGCTGCCAGGAGTAGCAAACCAAAATGCAGATGTTCTTGCAACTTAAGATCCCTCCTCATAGTTCATTATAGAGGAGAAATGTGATAAAATCTATGCTCACTTTTTCAAAGCTATTTATTTTCCAAATAACTTCTGAGAATGAAAGATATTAATAATAATTTTACCAAGAGGACAAAGATAGTCCCAGGAAAAAAATCAGGACATACAGTCACAAGCATTCAATATTCCATCCCATAAATATCTGCTTAGCAGGTCTTTAAAACAATACTCATATCTTTCACCTTTATATCTTTGGCACAGTGCTTGGAACACAGGAGGTGCTCAATAAAGGACTAACGAATGAACGAACACATAATTTCCCCAGTAATCACTGCATGTCAGTAGCAGAAGATGGCCTTTCTCCAGCCTCCCAGGCCTCCCTTTCCCCTCATCAGGCTGGCCCAATGAACTCAGCCATGGGATCCTCACCAGCTTCTCACGCTCCAGCTCTGTGCTGAACCTGGCTTGCAGCTCCACTTGAGTTTGCAGGCGTTTCTTTTCCTCTTCTGCTGCACGAGATGCTGCTTCCTCCAGTTTCTACCCAATTAAAAACCCATCCCCAGAAAAGCAGATTTGTTACAGTGGAACATTTGAGAGAAAAAGCCAAGCTTATGAGTAAAGCCAAACATTCAATAAAAATAGAATAAAGCCAGGCTCGGTGGCACATGCCTCTAACCCCAGCAGCTAGGGAGGTTGAGGCAGGAGGATCTAGAGTTCAAAGCCAGCCTCAGTAATTTAGCAAGGCATTAAGCAACTCAGTAAGACTCTGTCTTAAAATAAAATACAAAAAAGGGCTGCAGATGTGGCTCAGTGGTTGAGTGCCCATGGGTTCAATCCTCGGTACCAAAAAAAAAAAAAGAATAAAAACTGTTAGACCCATTGGAATTCCATCCCAGCAATTTGCAACAAATTTTAACATGCAAAACAAATTTGATAAATGATGAATGAACACTGGTATGTCTGAATCACATTTTGCAGAGGAAGTTGTAGTACAGCCATTGAATTATTTTCATTTGCAATTCTTTTCACCAGGTTTGAGATCTAATCTTGCAGTTCTTTTTTTTTTAATCTTTATTTATTTTATTTATTTTTATGTGGTGCTGAGGATCGAAACCAGTGCCTCACATGTGTGAGGCAAGCCCCTAATCTTGCACTTCTTTATCTTGCACATTATTCCTTAAAACTTTTACAAGAGCTCAACTGCCAGAAAAGGCGCCTGAGGAGCTCCATGGATCATTTCCCCAGTGGAACAATAGATGATAAAAATTACTTATTAAAAAAATGGGGAAACAACCACTTAAAGTCTCTGGAAATTATCCTAAACACATAAAGAAATGGAGAACATTTATCTAAGAAAATCTACTAAGGGCTGAGAATGCAGCTCAGTGGTAGAGCACTTACTAGCATGCACAAGGCCCTGGGCTTGATCCCCAGAACCATAAAACAAAAAACAAAAAAAGAAAATCTACCAAATCTCAGCTAAGAACAGTGAGTCTATAGCTTTTGGGACACAACACATTCCATCTGCCCAATCTACTTCTGGCAGATGAAACTAAGATTGAAGGCTCCTCTCCTCTCAATTCACAGCCCAGGGCTGCACCAACTCCCTAGGAGGGATAGAAGCCAGTATTCCTCACCTTCCCCAGCTCTATGCTGCAGAAACTCTATTCCAGGCAAGCATGGCTAAGAGATCTGGAGCTCTCTTTCCCTCAGCCCCCACTCACAGGGTGGGCAGGTTGAGAGGACTAGACCTGATTACCCTTGTCCCAACTCATTTATGGGGCAGAAGCTTCACAAAGGGAGAGGCAAGCAACAAAGACCAAAGGCCACCTTCCCCCATCAATTGACAGGCTCATAAAGCAGGAATGCTATTCCAAGCAGAGTATACTGTTATCTCCACAAATTCCAGAATGCTGCACAGAAGCTTTGTCCAGGGACAAAGACAGGTTTGGAAGTGACTTTATTTGAAATTGTGAAGAAGAATAAGCCTAAGGACACTTGATAACAACGGAGAGTTTGGTGGTAAGGAATTAGGAAGAGGTTGGTGGCTCCATGAGAGCAACAAACTAAACTACAGACCAGTCAAAAGCCTGACAGAGAAAACCAGGGGAAGAGACAGCTTAGGCAGAGCCCTCACATGGCAAGAACAAATCTTAAGAACTAGTCTTGGCTACATATAGACCTGAATTTAAATGATATTCAGACCAAAGGGCAATTTAGGCTCTAAGGTATTGTGAAAAACATAGAACATTCTGTCAACCAGAAATACTGAGACCTAACAGTTTGTGATACCAACAGAGGTGGATGGCTTAACAGAGAGAGTAGAAAAAGAAACATCTAAAGAGAGCCCTGCTAAAATTGGGGTCATCTCAAGGTGACTATGTGCATGCCCAAGGCTTGCCTCTGAGAAGCACAGAGGCAACACACTATCAGAAAACAGTCCAGCCAAATCACCAAACAAATAAATGAGTCCTAAGACAGACAGTGTTAGAATCAAAATCCAGAGTTGCTATGGTTTTATAAAGTGTCCAGTTTTCTATAAAAAATTATAAGACATGAAAAAGAAACAGGAAACTGTAACCCATACATGGGAAAAAACAATAACAACAACAAAAAGAAAAAGAAAACAGGAACTAGAAACTGCCTTTGAAGAGGCCTGGATGAATATCTGCCAGAAGACTTCAAAGCAGTTATAAATATGTTCAAAGAAATAAAGGAAACTATGCTTAAAGGAGTAATGGAAGGAATGATGATATCCCATCCCACAGACAATATCAATAAGAAGAAAGAAATTATAAAAAGAACCAAAAAGAGATTGTGGAATTGAAAAGTACAATAACTGAAATGAAAAATTCACTAGAAACTCATAGTATATTTGGGCTACAAGAAGACTCCCTGAAAAATAAATCTATATAAATTATGCAATTAGAACAGAAAAAAAATGAAGAAAACTGAATAGAGTCTTAGAGACATGTGGGGCATCATCATGAACACCAACATCTGTATAGTAAAAATAGCAGAAAGAGGAGAAAGGAGTAGAAAAAAATTTTTTTAAATATTTATTTTTAGTTGTAGTTGGACACAATACCTTTATTTCACTTATTTATTTTTTTATGTGGTGCTAAGGATCGAACCCAGGGTCTCACACATGCAAGGCGAGCGCTCTACCACTGAGCTACAATCCCAGCCCAAGAAAAAAAAATTTGAAGAAATAACTAAAAATTTCTCAAATTTGATGGGGCAACATTAGCCTACAAACCTGAGAAGTTCAGCAAACTCAATAGGATAAATACAAAGAGATCCACAGCCACAAACATCACAATAAACTGTTATAAGACAACCTCAGAAAAGAAAATCTTGAAAGCAGCAGAAGAAAAATTATTCCCCACACACAAGGAACCCCAGTAAACCTGACAGCTGACTTCTCATTAGAAATATGAGACTAGTTCTGATTAAAATATTGTAAATAGGAGTGATATGGGACATCTCTAGGCAAGAGCCCTTAACTGCCAAGCCCTAGAATACTTTTCACCTTGTGGAGTAACAGCAGCATTTAGGATGGCAGCTGTTCCCTCAACCTGGATTTCACACTTCTGGACCAGAAATTCTACTTCTGAGAATTATTTTACAGAGATACCAGAACATGTATGAACATATACAAAATGGCACAGGTTCAAGATAATGCCCTACAGCATTGTCTATTAAAAGAGTAAAAACAACCCAAATGTTCCTCAGTGGGGTAATCAATTAAATAAGTAATGACACAGCCATGCAATGGAATATTAAACAGCTATATGACAGAATGTCAGGTTGTCATAAAGAAGAATAAGGAAGCTCTCCTAACACTGATTTAGAGAGATCTCAAAAATACATTCAATGAAACTAAATGCAGAACATTGAGGTTAGTATGTACTTTTTTTAGAAACAGATAAGTGATTTCCAGGATTTAAAGGTGAAAACAAGGTCTAAATACAAAAGAGAAGCACAAGGGAATTCTCTGGGGGTATTAATTGTTCTATATTCTGTCCATGGCTGTTACAAGAATCCAAGCATATGTTAAAAATAAAAAAAAAAACCAATATACAAACGGTTAATCTTAACTGTTTGTAAATTTTTAAAAATTAAAAAGGGGGGGGGGAAGCTTCAAAATATTGGCAAATCCTAATTAGAATAAATTATACTCCATGTATGTATAATATGTCAAAATATACTCTTCTGTCATTTAAATCTAAAAATAATAAAAAAATACTGGCCATATTCTGTCTTAACCTTGGTAGTAGTTTCATTGGTATTAATTGTATGATAACTTACAATACATATTTTATGCTTTCCTCTTCAGGTATGGCCTATTTCATAAATTTAACAAAGTACAAGGGAACCACACCCCAGCTTCCCACCTCACCTCTACCCTCATAACATTCATTTCTAATGTATGCACAGAAGGGAGGAAAGAGTGGGTCTATATTGCAGGTGCTCAGCCTAGCCTCTCAATGAACTTGATACGGAAAATGTTTTGTAGCAGAAAGAGGCAAGATGTAAGAGTGATTTGGAGAGAAGAGCAATCAAGGGAGCTGCTTTTGTAAAGTATCTGGGCTGCCTAGTAATGGCTGTTTCTAAGATGTATGATCACATAGTACCTAAGATTATAAATGTATTTTTAGAAAATACTTATGGGTCTACTTGGTTCAGTGTACAGTGTGGCATTTCCCTGAGTTGTAAAAGGAGAAGCTCATGAGGAATGTGAGGCCTCAAACCACGAGTCACCCCTATATCTAGTGTAAAGGTATTGCAGGCAGGCGGGGCAGGCGGGGGGGTCTATAAGCTTATGGTTAAACAGGCTCAGTCCTGAAATGTCCCAAATAAAGACCATGCCCACACAAGGGGGACTCACTGCCACTCCTATCAGGGAACAATGTCACCCTGTGAGTGCCAACTATCCCATACACTCTATAGTACTTGACAACCTAGCCTTGATGGAAGGAGAAGCTGACTGACTAGACTATAACTCTGACATCAAATAGTATAAAAACCTCAATCTACATTAAGAGTCTTTGGAGACACTCATAAATGTGCACGGGAGCTGGGGGGAGGGGTCCTGCAGTGGTCACCCCAAAATAGCCTTCATGTTCCCAAAAGGATGAAATTTCACATCTTTCTTTGACAAAATTAAAATGTACTCATTTTTTTAATAAATATATCTTCTTTTTCAATGAGATGTTTTTGCTGACCTGAGACCTTCATGCTATTTAGGCTGGGAAAACCAAAGAGCCTCACAAGTGATCTGGATACACTTGAGAACACAGTTCACCAAACCTCTCCTGAAAATTGTATTAGCCTACTGTTGGTGGAACCAAAGTAAGTAAGGTGGCTGTGGCTTCGCATTGAAATGAAGAGTGCTCCTCCAGCCCTGAGCCCACACACACCTTCCTCACAGTCTCCAGCTCCTCCTGCTTGCTTTCATTGGCGGCCTGGAGCTCCTTCATCTGCCGCTCCAGCTCCTCTTGCTCAGCCAATAGCTTCTTTCGCATTTCTTTCCGACGCTGACGGGCTTCTTTGTGTGGTGGAGGGCTGCCCAGCTTCAACAAGTGGATAGTAGAATGAATGGCTGCAAAAGGTAGTGGAGAAAAATGGGAAATATACTTTATTCTTTACATGTCTACCATACAAGTGACACAGCAGGAAGAAAACCAGAGGACAGAAGACCCAGCATGGATTCTGATTTTGCCAGTAAGCCATGTTATAACCATGAGCAAACATCCAGTCTCTTGAAGCATGGGCTTCCTCATCTCCAAAATGAGATCATAAAATAAGAGATGATCTTTTAAGTCTCTTCTAACTCCAAAAATGCATGGTGATACACCTGTTCTGCACATATTTTAAGAACTTCTAACAATACTTTCAACTCCCTTCTCTCTACTTCTCTAAAAGTTAAATAAGAATAAGGCACAGTAAGGGCAGGGAGTCAAAGTTCCTGATGTCAGATCTGCAGCCAGCTGTATTTAGTCTGTCCCTCATCTGTGCCTTATAAAACCATCTCCCTGAGATAACAGATCACATTACATTAGCTGACATTTATTGAAAATTTAGGAGTGGGGAAGTGGCTCAGGGGTAGAGGGCTTGCTTAGCATGCATGAGTCATAAGTTCGATATCTGGCACAGGAAAAAAAAATTATATAATGAATGCAAATATATAATATATATAATATATATAAAAATTATATAATGGAAGATGCATATATATTCAATATGCATTTCTTTTACATAAATTATCTAATTTTCATATAAACCTGATTTCTTTCCTGGAATTTTTAATTACTTAAATTTTATTTCTTGACTAATATACATTGCTTAAAATCAAAAAGCATTAAAAGACATTTTGGAAGTCTTCCACTTACTCCTATGCCCCAGGTACTGGGTTTCCTGCCTGATTAGCAACAAATGCTAACAGTTTCTTATGTATTTTTCCTGAGGTATTTTAAGCAAATGAACATGTATATATTCTTCTACTTTCTTTTGACACAAATGGTGACACAATATGCCCTTTGAGCCTCAGTGTTTTCACTTTACTTATCTGTATAAGTTATCTCAAATATCCATAACAGTGGAGCATACAAGTGGAGCACTTGCCTGGCACACTCAAGGCCCTCAGCTCAATTGCCAGTACTGCACACGCAAAAGTGTACATGAAGTACTAAACAATGAGTACTGCAAAAGTGCTCCACTGTGTAATGCTATCATAATTTGTTCAACCATTTCCCAATTAATAGACAATAGGATTGTTTGCAATCTATCACAAAAACTTCTGTAAGAATGTCATTTTGAAAATGTGTAAAGTATATCTGTCATCTAACTTCTAATCCTCACAACAACTCTGAGAAGTAGGCACTATTATTCTCTCCATTCCAAAGAAGAAGAAAGCAGCTACAGAATTAATCATTCAAGGTACATGACCCAGGAAAGTAGACTCAAGATTCCAATGCAGTGTAATTTCATTTATGTTCAAGACTATTTGGAATCCCCTTTCAGTTTAAAATAAAATCTCACATGTAATTCTTTACTAATTTGAATTAATTCCAAAGTTTATGTTCTTAAGATTATTATTCTTTTGGAAATTAATAATTGACTTGAAAATCACTTGAAGTATTTAAAAATTACTGCATTAATTCCACTTTTGTTTTATATATGATCAAAAACATAACAAGACAGTCATTTTAACATTCTTCATAGTCCTAAAAGGGGAAACTCCATGGGCTTTAAGCAGTAAATAAAACCTCAAATTTCCTATTTATAATTTCCTCCCAAGTTCATTATGCAAATTAATTAATTAAAAATTGAGAATTCATCTTAAGTTGTTTTCCTTTTGGTTACTGTCACAAGTAGATATAACTATAAACAATAAGGAAACAATATTTTAGCATCTTTCATGAGATTAAAAAATATTTCTTAATCATCTTTATCATGGCATATAATAAAAATTGCCTTACCCTGAATCCACTCTTGTTTCTTTTTCTTATCTGAAGCACTGATTTCAAAGGTCTTATCAAAACATTTTATTATAAAGAGGCATTTCTTTCCATCTTTGTCAGGCAGAGACTAAAACAGAAAGTGTTATAAGTTCTTTAAAATTTTACTTTTTTTAAAATATATAATTTTAGTTGTAGGTGGACACAATACCTTTGTTTTATTTTTATGTGGTACTGAGGATGAAACCCAGTAGCCCCTCATGCATGCCAGGCAAGCACTCTACAACTGAGCCACAACCCTAGCCCTAAAATGTTATTAAGTATTTAAGGGCTGGGATTGTGGCTCAGTGATAGAGCGCTTGTCTAGCACGTGTAAGGCCTTGGGTTCAATCCTCAGCACCACATCAAAATAAAGGTATTGTGTCCAACTACTTCTAAAAAATAAAAATATTAAAAAAAAGTATTTAAAACTTATTTACACAAATCTGACTGAAGCTCAATGTCTGTGGAAAACACCTACAAATGCAAATTACTGATTTACTAATGCTATTCCCCTAGGTTGCATTACTTATGGTAACAATAACCCTAACTGGTATACCACGTCTGCCTGGAGAAATACAAACAACTGATGGGGATGTGGGGTTGCCATGCTTTATTTAGAAGCATAGCAACTCCTGCACCCAAGCATATTCCACCCTGTAGGAACCCTATAAGGTACACACATGGGATCATTATAAGAAGTACTGATTCCTATGACATAAAAGACTTCCGTGTCAGGATGAGTCCTATCGTACCTCCGTCTACTGTGGTTTCCTCTCCTAGCACCCAGGATGTTATTGCTGGCAATCTGTGGTTTCTTCCCTATATTCTTATGAGTAGAATGACAAAGACTACAGCAATCTTGTGATCTCTCTTCAGTTAAATCTAAACAGCCCCCTTTGTGGGCACTGCAGTCCTATATGGTAAGTATAATGGTATAATATATCTGTACCATTTCTTTCATCAAAATGCTCTATGAGTGAGAGCTCAGTTATTCTACATGTTCTTCAACAAATATAAACATAATACAAGTTAAAAACTCAAAATTTATGTTCTTGAGAATTTCACCTTTGGGGAGGGTGGGTACCAGGGATAGAACCCAGGGGCACTTAATTACTGAGTCGCATCCCTAGCCCTTTTTTTACATTTTAAAATTTTAAGACAGGGTCTCACTAAGTTGCTTAGAGCCTCTCTAAGTTGCTGAGACTGGCTTTGAACTCATGCTCCTCAGGCTCCTGAGTCACTGGAATTATAGGTGTGTGCCACCGTACCCAGCTAGGATTTCACTTCTTAACAGAATTTAGTAGCTGTGAATGAAGTGTCCTGAAAGTCAAATTTTTCAAATACAATGCTTAATCTTGTTTTACTTAATATATTCAAAATGTCCCCAGATCTTTCAGTATATTCATGATTTCAAACACTGCCTTGCTTTTTTCTTTTCTTTTTTATAACTTCATTTTATTTAATAAATGATTCCTTAAATGTACAAAGGTTGAATCTCTATATACTTTGTACAAAACATTCATATCAGAAAAATCTTGTCAGCTATCTTTAATTTTTGGTTCAGAAACTATGGTGACTGTATGCCTATATTATTTTGGAAATGTGAATTTATGATTATTTTGGGCTCTAGAGACTAAAAGGGGGACGGAGAGGAAACTCCTTTGACAGCAGGGGGCAGCAGCAGGTAATCCTGCAAAGAAGTAACAGTAGACGTACCTCTACACAGCAGTTTTCATCCAAGAGAATGTCTCCTTTCTTATCTTTCAGATCCTCACTTACATAATAAGAAATTATGTTGGGTTTTAGTACAAACCAGCGTTCAGTCCAGTTTTTCCGTCTATGGCCTTTTTTCATCATGTAACCCTAGGAAAGATTAAATCTGATGTAAATGCTAATGCTTGTGGAGTTTTTTGGTTTTGTTGATGGTGGTAGTATGTTTTTGTAGTGCTGGGGATTGAACCCAGCACCACACAAAAAAACAGGGTCTTGTGCATGGCGGGCAAGCACTCTACCAACTGAGCTATATCCCCAGCCCAATGCTTGTTTTTGTATGTGTAAAAGTTGATATTTCTTTCTTAGCAGACTCGTCTACTCCACTGTCTGATCAATGATCCTAATACATAAATGTCAATGATTCTTGCCCTTTGAGAATCTATGAAGGCCAGGAGCATTACACCCAAATTCATGCAAGAACACGCAGATAAAAGTTTGCATACAATTTCAAACATTTCAGAGACAACCTCCACAAAGTGATACAGGTATCAGATTTAGAACTCTTGATGTTAAAACATTGTGAGTTTTTAAAATTCCAGGCTTCTTGAGATATCTATTGAAATATTTACAGATAAAATGAAATGTCTAGAATTTACTTCAAGAAAAACACAGAAGAGGCACGAAGTAGATAGAGTAGGATTATCCATGTGTTGTTGGGGTTGGGTGATAGGTATACAAAAGTTCATTATACTATTCTATTTCATTAAAAAATAATAAAATAAAAAAGACCCTCTAACAATAATTCTTCGTAAATTAAAGTTTCAATCAATGAAAATGTCAGAGTATCAACTTGGCCAAGTCTATCCTTTCAATCAATACTAGAGGATTTCACCCTCTAGTAGCAACCTCTCTTTGCACCTAACCTCTCATTACACAGGAAGAGGAACTCTGCTCTGCTCTGGACAAGCAGAAAAGAACTGGACCAGGAGTTAGGATACTACCTGCTAAGCTCACACTCTAAGCTCTGAACTTCCTTTCCATATATTAGCCCCAAAGGTGTATAATTCAAATTTTTACTTTAACAAATCACATATTATTATAGACTAAAGTCTTTCAGAGTTGTACAAAAAAAAAAATCAATGAAATTTTTAATATTAAATCTACAGATGCTGATAGGCTACAATAGACTATACCATCAAACGTATGATATTAACTTGGCTGCAAAGTTCATTTGATCATTATACTAAATTCTAATCATATAACTCGTTCGGTTTCTTAATCTTTGGACATTTAAGCAAAAGATATCTCACAGTACAATTCATTAGTAGTTCTATATCCTGCCATCTTAATGGGCCTTTAAGTCTTTAGAGACCATGTCTCATACCTCTTTGTAGCACCAAAACCTACACAAGTTAAGCATTAATTGATGTTTACTGATACACTCCATGGGGGGGGGGGGAGGCAAAGACAACAATATCACCTACTGAACAAATAAAGGAGCAAAACACGTAAATAAACAATCAGTTATTGCTTCATATAAAAATGTAATAAGTTTGAAAGATCCACTAAAAATATATACAAATTCTATGTATCAAGCATTAAGCTTCCCATGTATATATCAGATACTAGACTAGGTTTGGAGAAAACAAAGAGTAAAATAAGAAAAAATGAACTCTGTTATATGGAAGTATCATTTTCTAAAAGTAAGAATATTTTTTTAATGTTTAAAAATAATATAAAATCATGTAGAAAGTCCAATAATACAGAAAAGGAATAAAAAGGAAAACATGATTTCAAAAAAAAAAAAAAAAAATCACACTTTCCGGAGGCAATCACTGTGAATGTTTTGGTGAATATCCTTTCAGACTACTCCACACAAATATATCACATGCTGCATGAAAGAGATCACAAGGTACCCCATGTTCTGCAGATTGTTGCTTTTTCACTGAACAATATGCTATGAATATCTTTCCAGATGAACGGGTATGAATATGCACATAATATGGGAAACGTAATTATTTAAATAGTTACTTTAAAATAGTAGCATCTCAATTCTTAACCATATTTCAAAACTGTACCAGTAATTCTTTTAAAATGAAAGCCTAGGGCTAGGAGTGTAACTCGGTAGAACAGAGCTTACATAGAATGCAGGGGGCACTGAGTTTGATCACCAGCACTGGGGGAAAAAAAAAATGAAAGCCTAATAAAAAACTAGAAAAATAAGAGTATTATTCTTTTTTTTTTTTTAAGAATCTATAGCATTTATTTATTTATTTATTTGTTTATTCATTTTAAATTTATTTTTATTGCTTTTTTGCATTATTCTTGTTCTAAATCTACAGTTTAATGTATAACTGGCCAGGCACAATAATATATACCTATAATCCCTGCTACTCAGAAGACTGCAGCAAGAGGATCACAGTTTGAGGGTAGCCTGGCAACACTGCAAGACCCTGCCTCAAAATAATTTTTTTTTTTTTTTTTTAAAGGCTGGGGATGTACTTTAGTGGTAGAGCAGCCCTGGGTTCAATCCTTAGCACCACAAAATTTTTAAAAAAGAGTATGTGACTCATATCATCTTTACAGAAAAAAAATTACTACTTTATTTCAAACATGTCAAATTCTAAAGATGAGGAAAAATACATAGTTATAGGATCCTTACCTGTTTTAACACATCTAATATAAGCTCATTAAACACTTCATTAATTGCCATAGATATCGTCTGCCGATCCATGCCTTTACTAAACTGTCCATTTCCAATAAGCTCAATAAGTTCCCACGCAGAAAGGCCATCTTTACTGTCATCAAAATTGATTTTATAATGTTCAAATTGTTCTTGTTGCCAGCCTCCTCCCATAGCTTCTGTAAGTTTCTTAAGCAGGTATTCAATCTGTGTAAAAAAAAATTTTTTTTAAATTTTTAAATTATTTCCTACTTACTAATGGTCAACTTAGAAAATATTATTTGGAGTTCCAAAAGTATATTTCTTTAAAGAAACTATTGTTAGGGAAAGGGATATGGATAAAATGCCAATGGTTCTTTCTTAGCCTAGAGTAAGCAAAAGAATCAAAAGTTGATAACCAGGAGGCTGAGGCATGAAGATCACAAGTTCAAAGCCAGCCTCAGCAAAAGCAAGGCATTAAGCAATTCAGTGAGACCCTGTCTCTAAATAAAATTCAAAATAGGGCTGGGGATGTGGCTCAGTGATTGAATGCCCTTGAGTTTAATCCCCGGTACTCAGCCCCCCCCAAAAAGTTGATGACCCTCTAATAGTGTATTTATATACAGAACTAAAGTAAACTACAAATACAAAACCACACACAAATTTATTATTGTGATCTGATTACTCTCTGTTGGCTATTTCAATGACAGAACAATAATCTTTTTTAATTGTAGTTGGACATAATACCTTTTTTTTTTTAGATGTTGATGGACCTTTATTTTACTCATTCATTTATGTGCAGTGCTGAGAATCAACCCAGCTCCTCACACATGCTAGACAAGCACTCTATCACTGAGCCACAACCCCAGCCCCAGAACAATACTGTTATTAAACTAACATACAAGAGCTAAATTAAATAAACATCTCAAAGTAGAATACAAAAGTTAACTCCCAATTTACAAATTTTCTGTGTAAACCAGTTATTTGATTCACGCTTCCTCTTTCCATTAGAATACTGGGAATAATGGCTGAATTACCAGCCTGAGCCAAAGCAGCTTACTAAATCCTGAATCACACCTATATGTAGAAAATACTACTATTGAAATAATAGCAGCTAAACAAAACAATGAGGCAGTAATACTAAATGAGACTTTGGTATCTCTTCTGGAAAGCCTGGGAATCCTACAGAGCTCTCAAACTCAGCATGTTCAAAAAGGAATAAATCACCTCTTTTCAAATTGTTTCCCCTTTATTCTTGATTTCAATTGGAAGCAACAGCATTCACATGTTTATCCATAGCAGGATTCTTGTTCCTCACCCTTTACATCAAACTAGTGACAAATCTTGCTGATATTACTTTCCTAGATCAGTGTTTTCAAACTGTGGGTTATGGTCCACTATGAAATCAATTCAATGGGTGGGCAATAACCAGCAATTTGGGGGATAAAATGAAAAATACTTGTGTTCAACCACAATTAAGACAAATACTGCTTTGTAATAAGTTTTATTCTATTTATGCTGGTCATAATATAAAATGTTTCTCTTGGGCTGGGGTTGTGGCTTAGCGGTAGAGCAATCAATAGCCTTGCACGTGTGAGACCTGGGTTCAATCCTCAGCACCACATAAAAATAAATAAGTGAAATAAAGGTATTGTGTCCAACTACAACTAAAAAATAAATATTAAAAAAATAAATAAAATGTTTCTCTTCTTATGGGTTGAAATCAAAAGAAAATGAAAAACTTTGTCAAAAATATTTCTACCATTTGCCTTGCTTTGGGCCTCCTATTTGTCTTCCCTGCCTCCAATGTGGCCCCTTTTCAGTCTATATTCTGCCAAAGGGATTTTTTTAAAACAAAAACTTGAGGCTGTCACTCTCCTCTCTAAATCTTCCTTGGCTCCCTATCATCTCAAAGATAAAGGCTATGCTTTCCATCCCTGGGTAATCATCCTCCAGCCTAATTTCTCTAGCATGCCTTCCCTTAAGTCCCAATTCACCACCTCTATCCCAGATCACAAGTTACAAACTTTAAAGGGCTGAATGATAAATATTTATTCATCTCTATCACATGTTCTTCTCTGTTTTTACTTTTAGCCCTTTAGAAATACAAAAAAGTAAATGCAGGGACTTTACAAAAATAGGCTATGAGCTGAGTTTGGCCAGCAAGCAGTAGTGTGTCAACACCTGCATGGATTTTAACTTGGGTACCCATTTAACATGCTGCTTCTATGCTTCTATGCCTTGTCTCCTGTCTAGAACATATTTTTCATTTTTCTACCTTTGTTAAAGTTTTGTTAGAGTTCTACATCCACCTCCAGGATATTCCTGCTCAAAGTAAGGTCTGTGCTTTGGCATCACTCAGGAGCCTGCTCAAAATGAAGATTCTCAGGTCCCACCAAAGATTCCAAATCAGAATCTGCATTTTAACAAGTAACCCAGGTATCCACACCTGCACACTGAAGTTTGAAAAGCACTGTTCTAGCAAACCTATTCTGACCAACCCTAATACAGGTCCAGCAATCCTCTTCTAGGTCACTGTACGTAACATATTGTAATGAAGTGTTTTCACTCATTTGCTTTTCTACCATTTTTTTAATTCCTTGTAGAAGGGAAGATGTCCCACTCGCATTCCCAGTTTTCAGCACAGTACCTAGAACACAGCACGTCTAAACTAATAACTGCTAAACTAAAATAAGATAAGCCTCAATTTTTTCAACTATGAAATGAGCATAACAATATGAATCATATAGAACTACTATGGGGATAAAAGGAGAAAAATACAGAGCAATTTTCACAATGCCTGGCATATAGTAGGTACTCCAATGTTGTTTCCCCTCTTCACTGAGTAGAATATTTGTCAAAAACAGAAAAAGTAAATTTTATTTGCTACAAACAGAATTATGATTTAATTTTTTCCTTATCCTTTGCACACCATTAACTTGGTTATAATGTTGTTCATAAAACAATATATTTTAATAGAAAAAGAAAGAAATACATATGTGCAAAGAAATATACATTTACAAAATATCAGAAGATTAAAAATATCAAGAGTTCTTCTGATTAAATTCAATGAGATATAAACTCCTTTAGGAAAAATTATCTTATACCTTAAAACAGCACATAGTGGGTGTTCAACAAATGTTCACTTTTGGTCTTTCCCTCGCTGTATCTTGCTGAGATACATTGCCTACTGTTATGTCTATCAGATATTAAGTAGTTTCTTGGCTCTGAAGTAGAAATAACAGGAATAGACAGTGGAAGAGAGAAAAGGGAAATGGTTAATAAGGGGGATGAGGAGCGGGAGAGACAGCTCAGTAGCAGAAGGTTTGCTCAGCATCTGGAGGCCCTGGGTTCAATCCCCAGTACAGAGAGGAGGGATAGTAAGAAAAAGAAAAGGACAGAAAAGATGAAGTGAACAAAAAAGATAATAGTCAATAAGAGACTGAAGAGAGCCAAAAAAGAAAATAAGAGTTAAAAGACACTAACATACACAATTGCTCAAGGTAAAATAACTTAGCGGAATTAACATGTATAAAAATTCAAGCTTAATAAAGACAGCAAAAAGTGCCCAGGCTGCCAGATTATATAACTCAGGGTTCAGGGAGTACAGACTCAACTAGAAATTTGGCAGTACAGCCAAAAGAAGCACATGTGCATGCCACGTGTGTGCACAGAATAATGGATGAGTGGGTGTGACAAGATGGTGCAGCTCACTGACCACGAGTACAAGTCAGGAAATTGCTTCATCTACCACTATGAATGAGCACAAGTCTCTCACATTCCAAGCTTCAGTTTCCTTTGCAGTATCAGAGATCTTTTATAATGTCTGCAACTCAGAAATTGCCTGTTAACAGTCAATCAGCTCTAGAGGCATCTTCCCAGGTTCACCCTAAATCTTTCCAAAGGTACCCTCCCAAGCCTAATGAGGCTCTCAGCACCCAGAATCTACCTGCTCAGCAACCCTAGTGACTCTGAACAGACAACTAATCTAGATGCACTCCTGTTGACTTTCAACACAATCACATACTTACCATAACCAAATAACTTGAGTTACTTTTGTTTCATTATAGTGGGCCAAGGAAAGACAAACATTCCCATTCTAAACTATTCAATTATACTAAATAATAAATCACATGCTGCCGTGCTAGTCTCCAGTGGCCTGCACCAATTCTGAGAGCTCATTCAATTTCAGGAAGCAGCTTACTTCCTCCTTCCAAGCAAGTTTCACCAAAAATAACAAAGAATAAACTTTTAATCTGCGTGTGATTTTCTAGGTGTTCAGCTCAAAATTTTATTCTGTTAAAAGTTCTTTCCTTGTCATCATCAAAAGGGGCATTTATAGGCTTAAAACAATTCAGGTTTTATTTCACTTAGAGCCTCTTAAAACTATTTCAGGTTTGACCTTCCATTGCATCAAGGCAATTCTTCCAAATAAGTCCACAAGAGACACATCCTGTTTTATTCTTAGTGCTGTGGGAAATGAATACTAAGTAAAAACCATACAGATACACACTTCCAGGAATATCATCTGAGGAAAATTACGGAACCAACTCAAATGGGATCCTATTTTCTGACATCTATGTGAATCATCTTAACTCTGCTTTAAGTTGTTTAAATATTGATTTAACATTCTTGACACTACTTTCTGTTAGTTTTCCATTAACTGAATCAAATGCAAATTTACTATCATTCAACATTATTCATACAAATGTCCCTATAGTATTAACTAAAGTAGAAGGAAAAAAATCTTCCTTAAAAACACTCACACTGGGGCTGGGGCAATAGCTCAGTGGTAGAATGCTTGCCTGCACATGTGAGGCCCTGGGTTTGATCCTCAGCACCACATACAAATGAATAAATAGAATAAAGGTATTTAAAAAAATTCCTTCCTTAAAAAAAAAAAATACTCACACTGCTGGGGTTGTGGCTCAGAGGTAGAGTGCTCACCTAGCATGCATGAGGCACTGGGTTTGATCTTCAGCGCCACATAAAAATAAAATAAAGGTATTGTGTCCACCTAAACTTAAAAAAAAAAATAGAAACAAAAAAGAACTTATTAAAAAAAAAAAAAAAAACTCACTCACACTGAGCCAGGCATGGTGGCACAAGCCTATAATCCAAACAAATTGGGAGGCTGAGGCAGAGGATCACAAGTTTAAAACCCGCCTCAGCAACTCAGCAAAGCACTTAGCAATTCAGCAAGATCCTGTCTCTAAATAAAATGTAAA